GTTGCACAAGAACGTCCAACCGCATGGCAGTCATGTTCGGGCGTATTCGATGCAAAGATGTGGAAGCACATTAATGCGCATTATAGGAGAACTTGTCAACGGTGCAATTCACTCGAAATGAATGCATGCGCGACTGACACATCTTGACACATACACACAGGATTGTTGTTACCGTAACCAAAGCGGGCGCACGCTGCGTTGGGTGCCAATGACCTGGATCACCGAGCCATGGGGCATGCGTGGCTTCCATTGTCTCGTCGTTGTTTATGGTGTATCGGGTGGGGTGGAGAACGGCGAAGGGACAGGAGAGGTGGCAGTTAGTCAAATGGTGTCTCCTCCGGTGTTTACAATGCCCTGGTAAAATCACCTCTCGGTGTGAGAAGAGGTGATGTTTTCCATTAGCCATCAATTGGATTCGCACCTTGTTTGTGGATGAGCCTCTAGTGTTCGACTCATCAGTGATGTCAAGCAGGTGTGGCTCCACCCTACTTGGGTGTATCAAATGGCGTCTTCAGAAAGCAGAGTGCGGCGATTGTATTACTCGACTGCACTGTACTTGCGCAATCCTCCAAATCCAATTTGCATCCACGTCTTCTCCTGTTTGCTTATGACACGTCTCATTGTGCTTTTAGCTGTGCCAATTACGTAAGGCGTTGGGGCAAGGAGTGGGAGTGAATAACAAGAAATAGGCCATCCACATGGAAACGATGTCACCACCACTTGTTGAGGTATCCTCCTGTGAGGAATGCAAATTTGGACGAGTTGGCGCCTGCGAAGGCAGACTCGTGGGGAAGATGAGAGGCTGTGTAGAAATACATGGAGGTGAATAAGGTGGAACTAAGCTATTCTTCATAAACAGGAACCGTCACTTTACAAACACTTTGATTGATGGGCAAGAAGATGACTAAACAACACTAGAAATACATTTTCCAAATCCACACTCCTCTGTGTCCCACACTACCCCTGCCAGTTGTTGCCGACTAATCGCCATCCACCTGTGTACAAACCGTCCATTTCTCAAGTAGTGACAAACGCATGGATGGATGATGTGAAGTTGGCAGTCAACTGCACCACTGAAATGGAATATCATTAGTGGCCCAGTGGATGCCTGAAGAGGCATGAGGTGCCTCCCATTATTTACAATGCTGTTCGATAGGCATGTGCTACTCACCAAATTCGGCCTCAACTACTGCACTCCTCCTTCCCCTTCCGTTGCTGTCACCTGTTTGTGGCAGAATTTGCATTCACTGCAGCTAAATTCCTCCATTTATTGGAGTTTCTATAACAAAAGTTTTGGAGATTGGAATGGGCCCCACTGTGTTTGGCAATCAAATGCGGATGTGGTGGAATGCTGGAAAGAAGCTGAGATTATGGGACTAGTTTGGGATTTGTGGATGCTTGAATGTGCATGTAATAGAATAGGGAAATGCATGAGTGGTCTGTGAAATAATTCGGCTACCGAATCTCTGGAGGAATTTTGGCAGACGCGACGACCAAGTCCTCATTCGTTTCTTCTGTCTCGACAGTATATCAGTCAGCAATTGGTCAAGCTGCCCAATTCGACATCACAC